CCCCTCCCGTCCCAGCACTATAGTCCTTCCATCAAATATCTCAGGATTGTTGGGAAGAGGTTGAGCGCTATCTGTCCATCTCACACTCTTACGATCCTCAGACAGGATGAGTTTGGAATAGGCCATGTCAGGGTCCAGAGTCAAATTTACGGCTGGAAAGAAATGAGGAGACAGAAGAGAAAGAGACTTAGCCGGGAGACTAATTTACTTTCCACCCTTCAACTAAAGACTTCCTCCAGCTGTCCTGGGGATAACTCCAGCCTGGAACAGTCCTGATTTAAAAACCTTATCACAATTTTTTCCTGTTTATTTTTCCACTCAAAAGAGGGAGCCTCTGTATACAAACCTCTGTATTTTGAATGCCACAGAATGCTGAGAGACAGGACACTGTGGGAGGGGAGGGGAAAGCACTACACATGCTCTCAGGTGTGTATTTTTGTCCTGTGCCCCAGGATTTGACAGACAAGGTTCCGCCCACTCTGTAACTTCTGCCATTCATTTTTTACAAGTGGCATGAGTCTAGTGATATGAGACTATTAAAAAGGTAAAGGCTCCCTTGCTCGAAAGCCAGTCGAGTCCGACGCTAGGGTTGCGGTGCTCATCTCCATTTCAAAGCCGAAGAGCCAGCGCTGTCCGAAGACGTTTCCGTGGTCATGTGGCCGGCATGACTAAACGCCAAGGCGCACGGAACGCTGTTCCCTTCCCACCGAAGTGGTACCTATTTATCTACTTGCAATTTCTTGCTTTCGAACTGCTAGGCTGGCAGGAGTATGAGACTGTTGCTAGTCTCTAATTGCTGGGGGGGGGGAGAGAAATAACTAGTGGTGTGCAAGGCAGCGCAGAGCAATCAGATCCCTGCAGGCCCAGCAATCCTGGATGGGCTGCCCTCTCTTGCCACTCATTTTAAACCGGGTGGCAGGAGAAGGCAGCGCAGAGCGGCGCCTGCAGGGAGTGAAGGGTTCCCCGCACAGGCCCAGCAATACCGGCTAGGCTACCCTCTCTTGCCAGGTGACAGGAGAAGGCAATGCAAAGCTGAGCAGCTCCCTTCCGGCACAGCGATCCTGGCTGGGATGCCCTCTCTTGCCGCTCTGTTTAAAATTAGCAAACGAAGCACAGACTGATCGAACCAAAGCGCTTGAGCGTATCAAAGTATATTATAACATACAACAATATTAAAGCAGATACTAATACACAAAAGAATGGTAAGTTTCAGGTGAAGGTGAACTTCTCTCAAAATGCAAGTGAATCCGACGAAAACCCCCGGAATGACTCTTCGTTTCGCCTCTTCATCAGATAAATTCCTACACATATATACAACAATACGAAGAGTCATTCCGGAGGTTTTTTGACCGCTGAGGCAAGTACTGACACAGGAAAATCTGCATAACAATGCAGGAGTGAGTGTTGAAGACAAAACAGATTGCAAACTGGTACTAGCCCATGCAGAAACCAGGATCCAAGGCAATGCAGTGAAAACGGATATCCCGAGGCAAAGGGGAAGCCAGGTCGAGTGCTGATAAAATGTGGCACAAATGCCAGATGCAGAATGGACCCCGTTGTCTGCTCTGACTGGCAGCCGCTCTCCCAGGTCCTGAATTCCTCCACTTCACCTTCAACTCCTTGGTCCATTTTTAACTAGAGGTCCCAGGGAATGAAGACCTCACCTTCTACATGCAAAGTCAATGCTCGACAATTGACCTGGGAGCCCCCCTCCACAGAAGGAGGGGGGTGGCATATAGCAGCAGATCACCCCAGTAGGAGATAAATATGGCCTTTAGGTCTGGAGATATGACCTTTATAGCTCTGCCAGAGCCAACCTATAAAGAGGTATTCGACAGGCTAAACTGGGCTATAAGCAGAGGATTGAGGATAATTTCAATACGAATGACATGCAGCAGGTGTGGCATGGGATCCAGAATATAACTAACCATAAACCAACTCTTGCTGCCATGGATCGAGACCCTTCATTGGCGGAGGAGCTTAATCTCTTATTTGCCCATTTTGATGTGGAGCCGAAGGGGACAGCCATATTACAGCCATCTGTCCATGGTGGCCCCTCCCTCAGGGTAGAAGAGCATGAGGTGAGGCTAACGCTGAGGGCTGTAAATCCGAGGAAAGCGGCTGGACCTGATGGCATTATGGAATGGGTGCACTGGCTGCCAATAGCATACCGAATACGCTTCAAGGTGCTGGTACTTACCTTTAAAGCCCTATATGGCCAGGGTCCGGCATACCTGAGGGACCGCCTTTCCCCATATATACCCCAGAGAGCACTACGGTCAGGGAACATCAGTTAATTATCCCGGGACCCAAAGATGCCAGGCTCGCCACCACCAGGGCCAGGGACTTTTCGGTGGCGGCTCCTTACTGGTGGAATGAGCTCCCGGAAGAGATCAGGGCCCTGCAGGACCTTTTGCAGTTTCGCAGGGCCTGCAAGACGGAGCTCTTCCACCAGGCTTTCAATCAGGAGCCGCCACCATGACCACCAACTATACTACTAGAACATCTTGTAGTACAGGACCGGCCCTAACGCAGAGTTAGGCCTATATCTACTTGGGAGACCGGAAGACCGCTGGATCGAGAACTCGAATGATATATCTTAGAGCACGCCATCTAATTTAATACTGCGAGCACTTTAAATGTTTAAATGTTATGAATGTTTTAAACTGTTTTAAAATGTTTTAAAAGTTTTATGCTGATGAGGTACATCGTACCGACTTCTGTAAGCCGCCCTGAGCCGGTTCGCTGGGAGGGCGGGGTATAAATACGAATAATAAACAGTTGCTGTAGATTTTCCGGGATGTGTGGCCGTGGTCTTGGCACTGTAGAACCTGACGTTTCGTCAGTAGCTATGACTGGCATCCTCAGAGGTATAAACACAGAAAGATGGAATACTCTCTGTGTCAAGGTGAGAAGAAAATGGTAGGCAGTAAATTTATATCTACTCTAGATATATATCTACTCTAGAAACGTCAGGCTCTACAGTGCCAAGACCACGGCCACACAACCCGGAAAATCTACAGCAACTAATGAACTCTGGCCCTGAAAGCCTTCGACAACATAATAAATAAATGTGTCGGGCACATCAGCCCAATTCCAGCACTTTGTTTATTTATTTGTTAAATTGGATTTAATAGGCCGCCCTTCCCTGCAAGCAAGGGCTAAGGGCGACTAACAACAATATTAGCATTCCAGCCCAACTACATTAAAACAGTTCAATAAATAACCACAGTAAAAGTAGTATACAATAATACTTAACGTGACGGAAAAAACTAACTCCTTGGTCTTGGGAAGGGCTGAGAGGAATGAGGAACCACATGCGAGTGCCAGAAGAGGTCTCATCGCTGTCCTTAACCAAAAGCCTGGCAGAACATCTCTGCCTTGCATGCCCTGCGGAAAGGTAGCAGCTCCCACCAGGCACAGATGTTTTCCGGCAGAGTGTTCCACCAGGCAGGGGCCAGGGCTCAAAAGAAGAAGAAGAAGAGATTGGATTTATACCCCACTCTTCACTTGGAGTCTCAGATCGGCTTACAAACTTCTTTCCCTCCCCCTCCCCACAACAGACACCCTGTGAGGTGGGTGGGGCTGAGAGAGCTCTTGACAGGAACTGCTCTTTTTCAAGGACAGCTGTGCCAGAGCTTGTGACTGACCCAAGGTCACATCAGCAGGTGCAAGTGGAGGAGTGGGGAATCAAACCCGGTTCTCCCAGATTAGAGTCCGCACACTTAACCACTACACCAAACTGGCCCTGGTCAAGGACAGCCGGACCTCTCTCGGGCCGGGGGCCACCAGCAAGTTCTTAGGTCCTGAGCGCAATGCCCTTCCAGGGGCATATTGGGAGAGGCACTCCCAAAGATATGTAGGTCCCTGACCACTAAGGGCCTTAAAGGTCAAAACCAAAACCTTGAACCTGATCCGGTGCTCCACTGTAAGCCAAGGCAGCTCATGCAGCATTTGTTGAATATGTGCTGTATGAGGGATCCCTGTGAGAACTCGCGCAGCTGCATTTTGGACCAGTTGAAGCTTCCGGGTCAGGCATAGGGGCAGGCCAATGTAGAGCGAATTACAGTAATCCAACCCGGAGGTGACCGTTGCGTAGATTATCATGGCTCGGTCAGGGCGAGACAAGTAGGGAGCCAGCTGCCTAACCTGGCGAAGTTGGAGAAATTCCAGGTTGGCAACCTTTGCAACCTGGGCTTCCATGGATAGGGAAGAATCCAGGGTCACACTCAGACTCCTGACGGTCTGTGCTGGTGATAGTGGCACACCCTCGAGAGTCAGGAGCTGGCAACCCAAACGAGTCTCCCCCCTACCCAGCCACAGAAGCTCCGTCTTTCCTGGATTCAGTTTCAGCCGACTCTGTTTTAACCGTCTCACCACAGCCTCCAAACCCTTGGCAAGATTCTCGGGGACGGTACTTGGCCGGTCACCCATCAACAGATAAAGTTGGGTGTCATCAGCATATTGATGGCACCCTAACCCGAAACTCCGCACTAGCTGGGTGAGGGGGTGCATATAAATGTTGAACAACACTGGGGAGAGAAGTGCCCCCTGAGGGACCCCACACTCCAGTGGGTATCTTGAGGATACTGTCCCTCCCAGCGCCATCCTCTGTCCCCGACCATGGAGAAATGAGGTGAGCCATTGTAAGGCTGTCCCAAGGATTCCAATGTCGATGAGGCAGTGAGTCAGTAGATTGTAATCGACTGTGTTGAATGCTGCTTTGGGGGCGGGGTTCCCCTGGTGGCCAGATCCGAGCCGGCAGGACAGGGGCCTCTAGAGTGGGCAAACCCACACCCCACTGGGGGATCTGGCAGCCCTGAAATGATGTAAAGTTCTTGTGTTATTCACATATGAACACAAGGATAAGCCCTGACTCTCTGAAAAGCCACATGCTCTTTCTGTCAGAATCCTCACAACCAACCTCTTGACCCTACAAGGACCAACTGCATTCCTCACTTGGGTCTTCTGTTCTCTTTTTTTCTATCTCCTACTTGTAGAAACAAAACGAATTGGAAAGAGAAAACACAGTGGCTCTGTTCAGACAATTGCACGAGTTTCTAGCAGATCAAGAGAAACTTCTGCTATTCCAGTTGGAGGAGCTGGAAAAGGACATCGCAAGAGCAAGGGATGAGTGTCTAGCCAGACTCTCCAAGGAACTCTCCTCTCTTGAAAGACTCATCCAGGAGATGGAAGAGAAGCACCAGCGGGCAGATATTGACGTTCTGAAGGTAGGAAAGAGCCCTTTGCCTCCTTCAGCTACACAAGAGAAGGGCTTGGTTTATGCAAGGGATAAGATTGATTTGAGGAGCTGCGGTGGCTCAAGTGGTTAAGACGCTGAACTGCAGGCTGTGGAAGGTCAGTAGTTCATCAGTTCGAGGCCCGGGTGCCACATGACGGAGTGAGCTCCCGTCTCCCATTCCAGCTCCTGCCAACCTAGCAGTTCGAAAGCAAGAAATTGCAAGTAGATAAATAGGGACCACTTCGGTGGGAAGGTAACAGCATTCCGTGCGCCTTGGTGTTTAGTCATGCCGGCCACATGACCACGGAAACGTCTTCGGACAGCGCTGGCTCTTCGGCTTTGAAACGGAGATGAGCACCGCAACCCTAGAGTCGGATTCGACTGGCTTTCGAGCAAGAGAACCTTTACCTTTACTTAAGATTGATTTGACTGTGTCTAGGAACATACAAGAGATAGAGGTCAGGTGTTCACTAACGTGAGGCCTGTGTGGAATTAAAGTTACTAACATTGACAGAATCAGTTGCCCTGTTCCTTTGCTGCTGATTTCAAAGTCTTCTGGTTCCAATATCTGCAAATACAAGATCTCTTGAATAAGCTTCAGAAAGGAGGGATGTTCTCTAGACCGCTAAACGACTTTGAGCAGATACTTAAAAACTCAAATGGAGAAATTAAGGGAATAATAGGCAAGCTGTACAGACTCCTGTTAAAGGGTGAAAAAACAACCAAGCACCAAGAAGACAGAGCATCACTTGCCCCAGAGTCCCTATCTATACCTTGTGGCTAATAGCCAGGGATCCCTTTCCTCCTGCCTCTTTCGGGCAAGGCCCTTAACAGACTGCCATGACTCTGGTCCTAGGGTAGGGTTGTCAACTTCCAGGCGGTGTTTGGAGATCTCCCTCTGGGTTTACAACTGATCTCCAGGCAACAGAAATCAGCTCACCTGAAGAAAATGGCCACCTTGGAAAGTGGAGTCTATGGCATATCACATCGAAGTCCCTCCCCTCCCTAAAACCCCACCCTTCTCAGGCTCCACCCCCCAAAATCTCCAGGTGTTTTCCAACCTGGAGCTGGCAAACCTATTCTAGGGGTCCCTTTCAGTCAGTGTCTGTCCTGAAGTATGACCAAATTTGAGGTATGAAGGACCCAGGCAGAGTGACTGAGAAACAATTCATTAAACAAATACTGTAGAAGTTAAATAAATAAGAGAACAGTTATAAAAATGGTCAGAATTAGGGTTGACAGGTCCCTACCTCTTCTCCAGCGGGGGGGGGGTGAAGCTCCTTGTCTGGGAGATGCGTGCGCCGCGATGATGTCACCCAGAAGCCATAGAGTTTTCAGGCCAAATGCTAGAGTGTCCCCCGACAACGTGCCCAGAGTGATGATGTCACCTCCGGATGACGTCATCGTGCCGAGCACATCAGCCTGATCCAGGCATTTTGGGGATGGGATTCCCCCTGCCAGCTGGATCCGGGCCAGCAGGTCAGGGGCCCCTAGAGCGGGCAAACCCTTGCCCCCCCAAAGGGATTTGGCAGCCCTAGATGGGGACGCTGCAACTATACAGGGCAAAACTCACACACAACAGAAGGCCGGTGGAAAAACAACAAACATCCCTAATGTGGTTGCCTTACTTAGATCCTACTCCTGTCTCAGTGCTTGATACCAGAAGGCCAGACTCACCTCACCGCGGGGCGAGGGATCAACTTCCTTCAAAGTAGGGTTGTCATTCTCAAGGTGGAACCCTGGAGAGTTCCAAGAACTACAACTGAACTCCAGACTACACAGATCAGTTCCCCTGGAGAAAATTGCTGCTTCCGATGGGTGGACTCGATGACATTATTCCCTTCCAGAGGTTCCTCCCCTCCCCAGTCACCTTCCTCAAATCTCCAGGAATTTCCCAACTCAGAGTTGGAAACCACACTCCAAAAACATCCTCACTACTGCTCAAGGGTTGAATAGGTTCCTTCACTGTGCAGGGCTTTATACACTCTCTTGTTACAGCTCTGCCTCCTTGACAGGAAGCTGAAGTTGGTTCCTGATTCCCAGTTCCTTATTCATCCCTCATCCTCATTCAATCTAAAACACTGAGGAGACTTTGAAAGCTCTGAAGCTCAAAATAAGGTCTAAACAATCACATATGTTATAGCCCCCCCCCCCAAGTTCAGGAGACTCTCCCCTTCAAGAGGACATATGGCACTCCCTGGTCCAAAGCCCAAAAGAGTTTGTAATCCTTTCCCTAGCCTCTCCAGTGAGGAACACAAAACCACAGAAAAATAGCAGCCAGTCAGAAGTATCTCTTTAATTACCTTAGTAAAGGGAGATGAACTCAAATTAACATTCCAAACAACCTCCATTTATTCCCTCCTTTCCCAGCCGCTCT